AAAACAAACAAGTTTGATTCAAAGTTGAAATGATCTTCGTGAAAATTGAAACATGGTTTGCTCTGCTGTATACCATAGATTAATCTAAGGCAACATTATAATGGAGGAAAATAGTTATAGTAGCTAAAACTAAGCATTTAGTTAAACAGTAGTTTAATGAGACAGCAATTGTAACTAGTTTAATTAACTAATGGCTCATCTCTAAACACATATATTTTCATGTCTTATGTTTTATATATCTTGCTTACAATCTTTTTCAATGACACAAATAGAAATATAGGATACAGAAAAATAATAAAAAATAATGGCATCTTATTTGTTCTGTCTTTATCTTCAATTTAATTTCATTATCAGATCCTACAATTTTTTTATTTTCATTAATGAATGAATTGAAGAAAGCATGAAATAGTTATGTAAAAATATTTCAATATAAGTTATATATTTCAACTGCAGAACCATATTTCAAGACAAATTTAAATAAATTTTAGAAGTCAATAAATCATTTAAGACTAGCTTTAATTGACACTTAAAATTTTAATTTTTAAAATTAAAAATATTAAAAAAAAATTATAAATAATTTCATTGTTATCAGAAAAAATACAATAGTTTAACCATTCTGTCATTTTTGATGTTTTGTTCCTTTCAATAAATTTAAAATGTAGAACTGTGTTTCTAATTTAGAGATCCATATACAAAACAAAAAATCAAAATATGATTAGATAATTTAAAAATTCTGAACAAAGTTTATTTCCAGAAATTCATCAATCATTATCAGACATTTTCATTGTTATTCAAAATAAATCAATCTTGAACCAAAATAAAAATAAAAATTTATTTATTATTGATAATTATTTTGTATAACTGTTTGAATTGAGTATTTCTGTTTCTTAAACAACTCCACGAAATTAATTGCAATAAATACAAGATCCCACAAAAATAATTAGCAGAAGTAAATAAGAAATAGATTACTGAGGAAACAAGAATAATGGGCATTACTTTTATGGAATAGAATTAATTATTTTAGTAAGATTCAAAATCTAATGGATACTATATATAATAGCAAAATAATACAAATAGCTCCAATGTATAAAAAGAATTTAAGAATTTATAATTAAAAAAAAATCCATCTGTTAAATGTCTAAAAAGGAAATGTATGAATTAAGAAAGATTTCATATGAATTTTGATGATAAATCATCCAGAAAACTATTGGAGAATATATAATAATCTAACCAAACCTATGACAAAAAATGCACTACAAAAATGGTTGATGTACTGTACTGATAAATTTCTTTGTAGAAATTGAATAATAAGGTTAAAGATTTAGAAGTGTAACTATTGAAATTTGTACATAAACAATTGTATCATTGATATTTTATGAAATAACAATATACAGTAAAATCTCACTTATGTGGCCACTTTTGGAGTTTACAGTTTCTGGCCACATAACCCTATCTAGGTGACGTCTCATATATTAAAAAATTGATATAAAACTGTAATTGGAGTATTGTACTGAATCCTGCTGAAAGTTTAATACTGATTATAAAAGTAAACAATAATTTGACATAATACTGCACATTCTTTGCAATATACAGTAATTCAAAATTCTCTACTGAGTAATGTTAACACTAAATAATAAAATATTGAAATACAGAATATATGTACTCCAAATGCAAGCTGTTTGCAGCACATTAATTGATGTAATGTACAGCACCATACTAAACACAAGTGTTTAGTGTACTGTACTGTACATAGATGGAATCAATATATTTATGAAATGGTAGCAAAAATTTTATTTAAATAATGTATTTTAACTGAAGTCACTAAATATGCACAATGTCTAAGACGTAAAAGTGTCAGAAAAAAGAATTATTAATTAATACTTTTTACAGCTTTTACATCAGACTCATTGTTATTTTTCTTTGTTAAATGTTACAAGTAACATAACAGATCATTGCTGATTTAGTTATATTTTTTCCAGAATACAAGAGTATCAGATGTATATAATTTTCTTTCTTCTTACTAAATTTAATTCATCAAGTGTAAATAAAGATATATTTTATTTGACAGACACTTAACTAATGATGATCTGTCAGATGGATCTCTGCAAACTACTCCAAAACTAGCAACAAAGCTCAATTCTATTTAAAGCACTTTAAACAATATGCTGAATTTAGAAATATGGGATTTTTCTATTCTGTTTGTCACATAAATGGGATAAACATCACTTTAGCACAGCCTTATCTTGGCCAGCAATATCAAGTTTGATTTATATGAAAACTTGTGTAATTTTTACAGGGAAATTTTGGGTGGCCACAAAGCAATGTTTTACTATAATTAAAGATGATAATATCTAACAGCAAACACACACAAAAATATGTACACAAGGAATAATATTTAAAGTCACATTACATATATATATATATAATGTATCTATAATCTATAATAATAATCTATATATATATATGCATATTATTATAGATAACCTTTTAACCAAAAGTTTATTACCAATTAATCAATGATATTTAAATTACTACTAATATTTACATACAACCAATATTAATAAATATTGTATTTGTATTGTATTATTTTTGAAGAAATATACTCTGAAACAATAGACTTACTGTATGATAAAATGTAGACTAAATTCTACTTAGTTAAAATTTTCCCCATATCAAATTTGTTCCAATAAACTGGATAAAAGTATCTGAATAATAGCAGCACAACACAATATTGTTGTAATTAATTAATGTCAATAAAATAAAATATATGAATGAAATATCTACTGCAACCTTATTTATTGCTAAAGATATCTTTTATATAATTTTCAGATCTAGATCAGCACTTGAAAAATATCTATGACAATCAGCATAAAAAGAATAATCTAATTTTACCATATACTTTCTAATAAAAGTTCAATAACATTGATATGCAATTATTTTACATATACTAATTAATGCTCATCATCCAAAACATAGCAACATTATATATATAAACTAAACAGGAAACTGTATATTCATAGAGGTAAATTGTCATAAATTATTTTATGCCCTATTATTTTGAAATGAACTGTGTTACATCAGATTAAAATGCAAGATTTTGTACATGTTAAAATATGTTGAGAATTGAAAAATTTCATTTGAATCAATTTTTGATGTATTTAATAATACATTTGTTGATACAACAAAATTTAACCTTATCAATTCTTGTTGTTATTTATAGCTATTGAAGATATGAAAATAATGACAGTGTATTATTTTCAATCTTGGCAATAAGTAAACTACTTAGTTATTACAATTACAATTTACAATTAGTAGAAAATTGTATATATAAATATATATTAGTATGGATTTGTCAGTCAGGATTTTTTCTAAACATCTAGTAATTACAGTATTATAACAAATGATAAATTCAATGCTAATAATAATTAATTAATGAAATAAATTACATATTCAAATTTGTAGATTTGAATATGCAAAACTAGTAATTTGAGTGTTTCTAAATAAATATCCAATTCATTTTTTGCTAGAAAGCAAAAACATTACATTTTAATATTAAATTGTCTTTATAATTGAAATATATTTTCAAAATTTCATTTCAAATTTTTACTTTTCTTGTTTGATTTACTTGGAAGAAAAATAAACAATGGCATCAAATCTTATTAAACATATAAATTAAGAAATTCTTTCTTCAAATCTTTCAACAGTTATTCTTTCTTTCAAATAAAATATTTAAAAAATGAATGTATTTGAAATATTTACATAAATTAATAATGCAGCTTTCTCTTTTTTACTTCATCTTAAAATAATTATTTTTTAAAATTTTCCCCCTTCTTAAATGACCTAGTTTCCATGATAAAATCTTGTTTCCACAAAGTTGTGACTAAATTAAAACTGTTTCATTTATGATTCATTATATAAATAAAACTATTATTTAAATTATGATTTATAGTTTAAATATAGAAACATTTTAGAGAAAGTGCTTAAATGTAGATTTTCCAAGGGTCAAATCTTATTTAATCATATTGGTTATTTGCATCTGAAAAGAATACATCTTGTTTTGATGCAATATGCATTCTTAATTTCAAACTTCCTGTCTTAAAATTTCTAAATAATAGATATAATAAATACCATAAAAACTGATGATTACTACTTACCTTTAAATATTTTCTATAAATTTTGAATAAGTATACTACATTAATCATAAAACAAATTTAAGAAATTTCTAATTTAAATAAAACTCTTACAATTTCATATTATTTACACTTTTTATTAGAATAAATAATGAAAAAATATACTGTACATATGCCTTTATCAAAATATTAACAGGCTGATTGCTCAAATTTAGTGTATACTTCCTGGGCTAAAATTTGAAATTAAATAAAGCAACAATTTCATTGTTGCTATAAATATTACATTTTATAGAACAGCAAAGATGTTATTTTTTTTTAATGTATTAGAATTTTAAAAGAATAATTGTATTATCAGCAGCATCAACAAAATTAGAGAATTACAGTAGAAATCGTGAAGAATCTGACATGCTACATTTAATCGTTTGAACAATTAATACTACTGAATAGTTTGCTCAAGAAAAATTTTCCTTTATGCAGCATGAAAATTTCTAAATTCTATCTTAAATCCTGCTTAATTTTGCTAATTATAGGAATTAATTCAAACATTGAATTTTAAAGTCAACATCCCTTTTATAAAACAATCATTTCTTGAAGTATTTAAAATTCGAGCTGAAATCTGCATGCACTCAACAAAGCAGTCATCACAGTTGGAAATAATTCCGTGTTACGAAGAGTCCATCTTTATTACTGTTTTCTGAAACATTTCAGTCTTTTTTTTATTTTATGATATAAACTACCGTTTTAAATAGTAAATTTATGATAAATTATCAATTGAACAAATTAAATTAAATATTTCTTGTTACAAAAAATTTTGTGAAATTATTTTTTTTAAACTATGACATTTTATAACCATATACTTGAAAACACAAATGCAGTTTATATAATATCCTTTAATAAAACATTCACACAGAATTCCAAGTTTTATCATTAACACATCAGTTTATGAAACATTTTCATTAAGGAACTGTATCATTTTCATTAAAGTATTTGATATTATGAAATATAATATACATTCTTATATCTTAAAAGTGAATAAAGAATGTGATTTATTTTGATCATAAAAGTGGTATAATTTCTGTTTAATTTTCAATATATATTTTATAAAGCACCAGCAAAGCAAAATACTTCAATATATTATTTTGATAAATATTAATAGAATTTCTATTTATCATCTACAATAAAATATAATTTACCATTTTGTGCTTTTCAAATGATATACATTAGACAAATCTAGAAAATACAACTAGCTATTTAGCCTGAGATGACTGTACTGTGGAATAAGCATGCGTAACAAACAAACACAAATTAGATAAAAGAATAATATATATCAACCCTCCATGTAATAACAAATATAATTATTCATTTAAAATCACCAGTGTTTTAGCCACAACTGCTCTAACTCTAGGCTACAGCAATTTAGTCTAAAAGACACTAAAGGCAAAAATAATTATAGAATTTCTCAAAAGCAAAAACTTAATAAGACAGTATATTATTATAGCTATGTAACTATAAATGTACAAGATTTTAATACTATCTATGAACACTAATATACTGTTAACCATACTTTACTTTGTAGACAGGAAATGCAATGAAATTTTCATGTTACTATGTATTTATATTATAGTTCATATATCATATATAGTTGATTTTATTTCAGCAAATATTGCATGCTGCATTAAAGTTCTGTATAACCTCAACAATGTTAACAATGTTATCAAACAACCAATTTACATAAACTGGTTGACATTCTCTCGAGATTTATATTAGATAGTTCTTTCCACACAAAATTCTGCATTTCTGTACAATTTCAAGGAAATTTCAACTCCCCAAAAGAGTGAGCAGTGTGAGCTAATATTTGACAAACAAACAAACAGTAAAATCCCATCATCATCATCATCGTAATTTGTTTGTAAATAATGCATTAAACTATCTTGGTAAATTATTTTGATACTCACACACAAAATCATATAATAAGTTTACAAGTAAAATAATATATTGTTCTGTTCTATAATTCTTGCAAAACTTGTATTTCCTAAGTTGTTTGCAGATGTAAACTAGGATTTATCTGTAGTTCATCACCAGTATTGAAATTTGACCTATTATGAATTGCATGTGCAATGTTTGTGGCTGGAAGCACTGCAGGACAAGTAGAAGCAACGTGGGTTGGATTTAAAGCTGTTGCACATTCCTGCACTGGTATGGGTTGAATGCCCATTCCGTGTAATCCTCCAGTCTGTGCACCATTTATTCCCGGTGTCGGATAAACTAACGTTGACTGCATAGCAGGAAAAGTTGCAAACGGTTGACAAATTCTAGGCTGGGGCGACCACCTCGGAGGCACCTGCGAAACGTGAAGGGAAAAATAATTCTGTTGAAACTGAGGCATCGAGGGAACGTAGTAACCGGTATTCGCTGGAGGATAAATTTGTCCGATCTGTTGCTGTACACCGATGCCGGCCATTCTCTGCATGTACTGAGAGGCCAGCTGCGCCCGACGATCTTCTTTGCGCTGTGCCAATGCAACGTACAATGGTCTGCTGGCCAATATTCTTCCGTTCATGGCGGCAACGGCAGCCGAAGCCTCTTCTGGTGAACTAAAACAAACGAATCCAAATCCCTTCGACAATCCGTGCTCATTGGTCATAACTTTTGCACTAGTGATATTTCCGAATGGAGCGAATTCCTTGAAGAGAATATCGTCGTCAATGATATCATCTAAATTTTTAACATACACGTTTACCTTACGATCCACTTTTAGCTGTTCGAACTTCTGTTTCAATTCCGCCATTCTGTCCGCCTTCTTCTGAGCTTGTCCTACATACAATATTTTTCCATTGACATTCTTTCCATTCATCTCTTTGATGGCTTTCTCTGCACTCTCCGACGTCTCAAAACTAACAAAACCAAACCCTCTAGACTTTCCATTTTCGTCAGTCATGACAATAGCAGAGAGAATTTTACCAAAGACCTCAAACATCTCTTTAAGTTTATCACTGTCTAGATCGGTTCCAAAATTTTTTATGTACACATTTTGCATATGAGAAGTCTTACCATCATCATTTTCTTTTGGCGGCACATACTTCTCCACGGAAACCACCTTTCCACAAATGATAATTCCATTTCCTCCAGCAATTGCCTCGTCCACTGCCTCTTCGTTTTTAAACTGAACGAATCCATATCCTTTTGACTTTCCATTTTCATCTGTCATTATTTTGGTGGCAAGGATTTCCCCGTAAGAAGAAAAAGCATCCCTCAGTGCCTTATAATCGACGTTTTCGTCTAAATTCTTAATAAAGATGTTACCATCACCTGTGGGAGGTGTATCCTGGGTCCACATGGGTTTGATCCTCATGGGTTTACCTTTCATTAACTCACTATTCATTTTTTCTAGAGCTTTTTCTGCATCCGAAGGTAATTCGAAATTGACGTAAGCATAGCCCAGGGACTTCCTGGTAGTCTTATCTCTACACACGCGGATAGACAACACTGGTCCTGCCGACGAAAATTTTTCGAACAACATAACTTCGGTAACGTCGGGATGAAGATCGCCTACATACAGAGATGCAGAATCGCAATTTCTTCCGTTCGAATCCATACTTAATTCTCGACTTATTACCAGATGTTAGGCCTAATTCTTTTACTCGGAAACACGTTTTCTTTCTCTTTTCAATTTCGTATCTTTAGAGTCTATCGTAGGAAACCTACTTCGTCTGATTGTAATATCAACTCATAACCTACTAAATACCTTAAATATTAAACACCTCCTCTTCTTAATGAACTCACCGACGTGGCTATTCCGATAGCGAAGAGTGAAGAACAACACCGTGCGCCATGTTTACTCTCTGATTGGTCGATTGTAAATGGTACTCTATTCCGTAATTGGTTGGAAAGTTTGAATTGGAACGTATGCAATGTCTACTGGATATTAAATCGATGACGTACTTATTACTTTTATTTTCATTCTGAATCATCTAATGGAAGCTAACCAGAAGCTATTTTTTATTTTATTTAAAACATATTTCGCTTAAAAGAAAATTAATTAATTTTAAAAATTATAAAGAAATATACAGTCAAATATAAATATTTATATTTTTTGAAATAAAGTAAAGTCAAATTATAATCTACATTTATTACGTTTTAAATTCGTATTACTTTCAATTAGATTGTAAATACTTGAGCAAAGATTTCTTTATTTAAAAAATCCGAGATTTAAATTTCAAAGAAAATTTGATTTCGTAATTTCAAACTAAAATAAATATTCATTAAATTTACTTTACACATTAACGCTTAAATCTGTCGAAATACGATGAAATACCACCCAATAATAAAAACAAATTAATTTAACTCGATTGGAGTCATTAAACTTTATACTTCAATATTTCAAAATAACATGATAAAGTTATCTGATTTGAATTTTAATTAATTGTTAATTTATATTTTAAAAGTAAGAAAAAGGTCAAGTCACAGTTAAAATTAACACGGCCAGATCATTAGTATAACTATTTAAACATCGTAATAAACATAATAATGTCAATATTTATTAAAAAAAAAAATAGTAACATAAAATTGTCGTTGGTAAATATTGCAAAATATAATTTAAAAACTCAGTCATTAAATACTAAAATAAACGTTGATAATAAATACTGTATGTAGATATAACAAATGTAGTCAATAGATAACAGAATTTAAAATTTTAATTAGATTAACGTATAGATGATTATTATTTATTAAAGACAATCGTTAAATTTGTCTACATTTTAAAACATTGGTCAAATTTATGCTTATGAATTAAATATTTTTTAAAATTCCTTCCCCACTAGAACTTTTCCCATTATGAGCTCCGCCAAACCCATAATGGGGGCGACCGGATGGTGAGGGGCCCGACGTATTCGGGACAGATTATACATAAAAAAAATTCCTTGGATTCGATTTCGGGTCCTTCAAAGCGCCTTAACCGCCTCGGCCATTTGATCATCGATATAGTTAAATCAAATAATCGTGAAAATACGATATCGCCCACCATTTGTCAAGTTGATAAAACCACCTAACACCAATCGTGGATTCGCGTCTGGTCAACGGGCTGGCTACGTGGAGTTTTCCGGGTTTTGTTCACGTTAGTAACACCCAAATAGGGTCAGTTTCCCATGTGGTATCGCCCATGTGTCGCGTTGCCTTTTACGAATAAACCATATCTGAGATCACATAGATTATTACAGTAGCGCGTCGTTTATCCGAAACGTCGGTTATCCGAAAGCATTCCAGTCGGCAAATTTAAATTTTCGCTAGTGCTATGGCGCTGCAATCTTTGGCTGTATCTTGGACTACTCTAATATATATATTTTTTGTTGATGTGTGTTTTTTAGCTGGCAGCACTGGCACTTTTGTGTGGTATTTTTCTGAGGATTGTGTGTGGTGCCGAATCGAACGTTTTTGATACTAGATCATCTTCTAAAGTATATATTTTTTGGTTTTTATATTTTTCAATATATTTATTTTGTTTGTAAGAAATAAAGAAATAATTTGTAACGATACAATAGCCACGATTATTATTTTAAAAAGTATACGTTAGGCTTAACATCGACGAAAATTCAACGGGAAGCGACACGCAACGGAGAAAAATTTCAACACGGGACAGGTTAATATATTTTTTCGTTCATAATCGGTTATCCGAAAAATAAGTTATCCGAACACCCTCAGTCCCCAATTGATTCGGATAAACGACGCTCTACTGTATTATAAAATGGCAAAAAGCTTAATTTTGAGGGTAG